GGCCGGACATTTAATCCTCAAGATCTTGGGGTCAGCAGCCATGGATCTCTCTTCTGTAGCACCGTACCGGCCTCCTTTCTTTCTTTTCATCCCATGCATGATCTCATCTCTGTATCCATGCATATGCATGCATTCTTTTGATTAGCTAGTGGTCACGCTTATATATGGGGCGCTCGCTGCTTGTCTGCGGCCGCCACGACAAGCTAACACACGTGAGCATAGTAGTACGATCTATCGATCTACTCCCTCCGTATTTTAATATATGAAACTGTTAACTTTTTGACCAATGTTTGACCATTCGTTTTATTCAAAATTTTTATGCAAATATGAAAATATTTATGTCATGCTTAAAAAACATTTAATGACGAATCAAGTCATAATAAAATAAATAATAATTACATATTTTTTTAATAAGACGAATTGTCAAACGTTGGACAAAAAAGTCAACGACGTCATATATTAAAATATGGAGGTAGTAATATATATAACAAGTTGCTGGCCATAATAAGCTACTGTAATAAACGGTCCACTGGTGGAGAAACCATTTATACTCCCGGTTGGTAACCCCGGTCCCGGTTGGATCTTTAGTCCCAGAACTAAAGATATAGTTCCGGTTGGTAACACCAACTGCGAATAAAGAGAGGGTAGCGGCAGTCTTTTTTTCATTGTTTTTTAGCTACAGTTTAATCCTGTATTTTCTCCCAAATCAAGTGGGATACATATCCCCAAATCAAGTGGGATACATATCCCAAATCAAACCTCAAATCAAAGTAACATCCCAAAACATTCACATCACAAATCTTATTACTTATACACTCAAATCAAATACATCACAAATCTTAAAAAAATTACACACAAACCAAATACATCACAGATTATACATCTCAGATCATGCAACAAATCACAAAATTATACATCTTAGTGAATCACAAATTGTAAAAAAAAAAAAATGCCGGCAGCGGCTGCCGCCTGCCGCCGCTCGCCACTGGGCCCGTGCGCGGCCTAGCCGGCCGCCTGCTGCGTGGGAAGGGAGGAGGGGGAGGAGAGGGCCGGGGATGGGATGGGAGGGGAAGGGGAGGAGGCGGAGGGGGAGGAGGAGGGAGATCGATCTGAGAGGGAGGAGGGGAGAAGGAGAGGGAGATCGATCTGAGCGGATGGGAAGGGAGGACGGGGAGGAGAGGGCCGGGAGATGGGAGGAGGAAGGGGAGGAGGCGGAGGGGGAGGAGGAGAGGGAGATCGATCTGAGAGGATAAATGCGAGGCGGTTGTGGAGGAGTGGATAGGAAAGAAGGATTATATATTAAGCGTTGAATTTTAGTCCCGGTTGGTAATATCAACCGGGACTAAAAATCTTCTAGATCTTTACTTCCAGTTGATAACACCAACCGGAAGTAAAGTTAGGATTTTTATCCCGGTTGGTAACACCAACCGGGAGTAAAGATCCCGGGGGGCCTGACAGGTTTAGAACCGGGACTAAAGATCAAATATATCCACTGTAGCCACCAACCGGGACTAAAGATCATCTTTAGTCCTTGATCTTTAGTCCTGGTTTTTAGTGGAACCGGGACTATTGTGAATTTCGGCCGACCGACCAAAGATGGTTTCTCCACCAGTGGTCGCTCAATTCGGTTCAACACAATTAACCTCGGATGATATTGGTTATGGTAACAGCCCACGGTGGGTGGGTTACTGGGTCGGGTTGTGTCGTGCATGCCGCCTATGGCCATATCATTTGACTCTCGATTCAAATTTAACGACTAAATTATAACTTTGCTACGATATTATCGACATATTTTTAAATTGCCTTACCGCAATGATATTTCGACGATTATAGATAAAATAATCATAGAACTGTAACTCTATTATAATCCTCAATGATTACCATAAGCGACACATCAACTCTGACTTTAAAGCAGATGCAACATCAATACCTAGCAAACTGCCAGAATGATCAAGCGGCCTTGATTTCCCCTGATGGACTTTAGCCAAAGCCGCCTAAACGCCCAAATCTATTCGCGGCCAGCAACTATACACCCTAAGAGCTGGTACAATAGCAGGCTATAAGCCAGCTATAAACATATTTTAAAGAGATAAAAGAAGAGAGAGAAGAGCAGCGGGCTACAAATCTGTAGCCAGCTGCAGCACGGTTTCCAAGACATATTGGGTGTATGATAGGTGTATAATAGGTGGGACCATGTATTAATAGTATAATAAGCAACTATTGTATGAATTGTCTATTACATTGGCTATAGATGATTTGGAGCTAGTAGTGGACTATACTATTAAACTTGCTCTAACAAAGAAATTGGTTAATTATGCCTCGTGAGCCGACCGCGTTGGTTTCCCGCCCATGCTCGTTGAGTTGTAGCCCACATATGGCATAGAAGTATTAGAGCAGGTACAATAGCAGGCAAGCTAGCTATAAACATATTTTAAAGAGAGAAAGAAAAAGAGAGAAGAGCATCGGGCTATAGATCTGTAGCCAGCTGCAGCACGGACTACAAGACGTAATGTGTGTATGAATATGAGACCATATATTAATAGTATAGTAACTAAATATTGTATGAATTAGCTATTACATTGGCTATAGATAATTTGGAGCTAGCAGTGGGCTATAGTATTAAACTTGCTCTTACTATCATGGGACTACTTCAGTACACACGATGACATGGACTGTTTCACCCACGCCGATAACCACCTGTATGAAAAGTGGGTCTGATTTGTTAGTAACACAAGAGTATTTGGTACTAGTAATAGAGTTTTAGTTTTGTGGTAATTTCATCGTTAATTTTTGCGGTAATCTAAAATAGATTGTTGATGTTATAATAAGTTGATACTTAATTTAGCCAGTATTTGCAATCGTAAGGAATTTACTCAGGAAAGAAAGAAAGGAATAAGCTGAAACGTCCACCGAGGTTGCACGGTTTCTATATGGCCCAGGTCCAATATGATTTAAAGTTAGAGCCCTTTGGCAGGTCACCAGGCTCCAGCCCAAGCTTTGGGTGCGGAAATATGGACCTTTTTTTGCATATATGGTCTTTGCATCCATAAGAGGGCCCTTGGCATGCGCGTCCAGTAAAAGGAATAAGTTCACTTTGAGTCCCTATAGAGTCAATCTAATTCGTATCCATCAATTGCGATACCATATATTTTGACCACCTAGCTATTAAAATCGCCCCAACAGTATTTATGGTAGTTTTCGCTGACGTGGCTAGTTGACCTAGTCTAACCGGTCAAGTTAGCATGTGGGGCCCACATGTTAGCGACCTCTATCTTTCTCCCTCTCACTTATCAATTTCTTTCTTTCCTTTCCCCACCTATGGCGAGGGCCGTGGCATCCAGCGTTCAACGAGCAGGGCCATGGGGTGTGGCGTTCAAGAAGCAGATTGTGCCGGAGCCCGCTGCCGCAAGCCTCCACGAGGAGACCGAGGGTGGGCGGGTATTCCTCGCCAGTAGGTCTAGGGCGACGAGGCCACCACCCATTGTCCATGGCGAGGGTCGTGGCAGCCGACAAGGAGGGGGATGAAGAAACAGGCGGCACTGAAGCTCGCCGCCGTGAGCATCCGCAAGGAGGAGACCTAGGAAGGGCACATCTTCTTTGCCAGTCGATCAAGGGCAACAAGGTCAACAAACCTCCTTCCCGGCAATCGGTGGCTCCCCAAGCTCCACCTGATTGAGATATCCAGTATTACTTGCCTCATCTTTTCGCTTATGCTTATTAGCCAAAATTTGAATTTTCAATCTTAAATTTGGAGTTGATTTTGGGGTTCTTTCATCGAAGTTTATTTTTCAGCATTTGCTTTTAGATTGCTAAGAACATGTATATAAAAGTTTTATTCACAAATTATTTTTGTTTGCAAATATGCTGCACGATTGAGGAATATGAATTAAATTGGACCTATATTGGAGAGTCAAAGTGGATTTATTCCCAACATAATACTCTATCCATTTTTAAATATTTGACGCCGTTGACTTTTTTAAATATTAAAAAAATGAGTAATTATTAATTCTTTTCCTATCATTTGATTCATTGTTAAATATACTTATATGTATACATATAGTTTTACATATTTCACAAAAGTTTTTGAATAAGATAAACGGTCAAACATGTGCTTAAAAAGTCAACGGTATCAAATATTTATAAACGGGGGAGTACTCCCTCTGGTTCTAAATTAATTAACGTTTTGGATAAGTTTGAGGTTAAACTTTTATAACTTTGACCATCAATAATATTAAAAATATTTAGTTTAAAGAAACTAGAAAAACATATATAGATTTGTCTTTCAAAACATTATAATAAAAGTAAACATGCATTTATTTGTTGTATATATTATAATAGAAAAATAAGGTCAAAGATATATCTCGTAGAGCGTGTCATTGTTCAAAGCGTCAATTAAAATAAAACCGAAGGGAGTATATAAGCAGCCTAGATTTAACCGGGCATGGCCCAAAGTTTTGCATGTTTTTCTCCTCCATAAATCGGCACACAACTTATTAGTACGTGGCACAGCTCAGATATAGAAGGGCTGTGCACAGTAGGAAGTAAAGTGAAGCGCAGAGTCCCATGCTGCCGGCAATGGCGGATCTCATCTCATTTGATCTAGCTCGTGCTTGCTTGCTTTGTTAGCCGGTGACGGTGACGGTGATTGCTTAAAGGAGGGGGCATTAATGTTGACGAAGGGGAACATGTCGGCCGGCCGGCAGCTCACCGCCTCGCTGGGGATCAATATCATGCATATCGGAGGCCTTTCACCGTTGCCGACGTAACGTAACGCTTCGCTCCCTGTGTCTCTGCGGGCCGGCGAGGCCGCCACCGTCCGCCGGCCGGGGAAAGGAGCTGGAGCAAAAGGAAATTAAAGCCGGTGAGGCAGCCATGTGTCCGTGATCATGATGAACACACTCGCGTGGATGCAGCAGTAGAATCCAACCCAACGGCAGGGAAAGCTAGCCTGAGTCTCAGATGAAAGCCTTGGTCCTAGTCCTATCCTGAATTGATGGAAATTAAGCCTACGATCATCAGTCGATCACAATTCACAACAACAACGTTACGTACATGCAGCTCCCTCCTGCCAAAATCCAAAGGCATAGGAGGCTTTGATTAACAAATTAACGATACCCGATAGTACAAATTAAGCAGTGAATCGATTCACAAAAAGGAAAAAAAAAAAGAGAGTTCGATTTTAACACCCTTGCTTAGTAATACTAATACTCCGTAGTGGAGTACTGTAATTAACAGCTCTTTGGCACGAAGCCTACGCGCTGGGCGTCGCCGTCGAACACCACCCGGAACCCCTGCTGCTGTATGTTGCCGATGATGGAGACGCCGCCGTCCGTTCCCGCCATCGCGAAGCAGAACGTCCCGCTCGTGTCCACCGGGATCAGGTAGTTCTCCGGCGGCAGCGCCACCGACGCGCCGCCCGCCAGGTGCATCGACACCGTCGGCACCTTCACCACCCTCCGCCCGCTCAGGTTGTAGCACGTGTCGAACAGCGAGAACCCGCCCGGCGACACACGGAGCCCCACCGCCGCCGCGCGGAACGCGTCGCGCACGGCCTCGTACACGGGCCTGGCAAGCCGTGTCACCGACGTGCCGGAGTCCAGGATGACGCCGCCGCGCCCGGTGGTCGGGTTCAGCCGGAGGTCGGACTGGGACACGCCCTTCACGCGCGCGCCGCCCACGCTGAAGCCCAGGAGGTGCACGTAGTAGAACGTCGCCATCCTGGGGTTCCTCCCCATCGGCGTGAAGGACGCGCCCGCCGCTGCCGCCACCGCGCCGGCGCCGAACGTTACGGTGGAGGAGCGGGTGGAGGAGGGCCTCACCGACGAGGTCCGGTCCACGAGGCAGTAGGAGAAGCTCCGGCCGAAGCTGCGGGCGATCTGGGAGGGGAACGACAGCCTGCCACGGCCGAGGCCGAGGAGTCCCGACGCGGCGATGAAGAGCCCCTCGTTGTCGTGGCCGCACCCGATGGCCACCCGCTGCACGCGGGCGCCCCGCGCGAAGGTGAGCGTCTCGGAGGCGAAGTCCCCGGCGGTGACAGAGCCGTCGCCGTAGGCTACCTGGTAGAGGCAGGAGTTGCGGCGCCTGTCGCAGCCGGCGGAATCGAGGCGGCGGCAGATGGGCGCGACGCAGTCCACCGCGGCGTAGGAGCGGGAGCGGCGCGGGTCGAAGACCCTGCCGGACTGCGCGTAGCAGTGGCGGCAGGGCGCGCACTGGAGCCAGACGACGTCGCTGCCGGTGTCGAGCACCATGAGCGCGGTGGTGGCGGGCGTGCCGACCCCGACCTGGGCGAAGTACTCCCCGCTCCCCTGCGGGAGGCCGGACAGCAGGGGCGCCGCGAAGCCGCCGCGGCGGCGCGGGCGCGTGGCATTGTTGGGTGCAGCAAGCAGGGCGGCGGCGCGCGCGGCGTCCCGGGCGAGGAGGTGCGCGAGCAGATCGGAGGCGGTGGCGTTGAGCGCGAAGTGCTCGCGGTGGGCGAGGCGGAAGTGGAGCGTGGAGGCGTTGGTGCGGGGCGCGGCGAGGCTGAGCTGCTGCTCCTGAGTGATAGGATCCGGGGAGAGCGGGTTGGCGAGAAGGGATTGGGTGCGCACGGCCTTGGAGAAGGCGGCGGGGAGAGGCAGCAACAGCAGCGCAGCGATGAGGAAGACATGGAACGCCATTGCCGTTGAGGGGAGCATCTCGATCTCGATCGGAGGTGGTGGAGATGAAGCAGAGGAGGAGAGGATAATTGGGAGAGAGAGGTGGCCGGCGGTTGCTAGCTGGGGAATTAAATGTTGTTTCTTCTTCTTCTTCTTCTTCTTCTTCGCGGTGGCTGATCGATCAAAGTGAATTGAATTGAAGTGAAAGCCAACAGCGGCGGCTGCCACGTCCTCTACTGGATCGATAGATCGATCCGCACTTCACTGCAGCGACTTCAATTCGACCAAGGATGCACTGGGAAAATCATCACTTGCTGCCTGGATCTTGCACAAGTACACACACTCGGTTAATTACCAGCAGCAGTTTACAGTCTACAAGGAATCTGGGCATTCGGGAATCGGGAGAGCGAGATGTGCCGTGTGCGTGCGTGTCCGTTGTTTCAGGACACACACCATGATGGCAATCTCCCGTTGGGCCTACCAGCCGAAAAGTTAGCTAATTGGCCCATGGCATCATTTTGGGCCCAAATGCATGTGGTCCCGACGACAGAAGGCCCACAATGTCGTCCGTCCAGCGCAGCGCAAAACTGGGGGACGGCAACCAATCGCAGCAGTCCATGTTCCGCGGCGCGGGTGGATCGGCGAGGACTCCATCTTCCCCGGCAATTCCGGCGAAAGCATCTCAAATTGGTACCAAATGGCAGCCATGGCGAGCGCGACAAACCGCCAGAGGCACCTAATTTTGGCACTGGTCGTCCCCAGCAGAGCAGATGAACAAGAGAGGTGCCTCGCAATTCCCAAAACGAAACGAAACGAAAGGAAACAAAGCGATCCTTCTTGCGCTCCGGCGCCGCCGTCTCCCCCTCGCGCGGTTGCCTGAGCCAAGAACAGGATCGGAGGCCAGGCCCCATGCATGCATGTTAATTAGTCTGTCACTGATCACTTCATCCCATTAGCCATTAGCTGTTTCTCATCCAGACGGACGCGCCATCCAACACACATCGATCGATCGGAGGTTGATTGGCCGGCCATGACGACGACGGCCGCCGGCGGAGCCACCCTGTGCGCGGCGAGGGAGGAGCAGGAGCTCCTGGCCACCCGCCTGAATGTGAACGGCATCCGGCCGCCGCATTGCGCCGCGGAATCTATCCTCATCTACCTCACCGCGCCGGGGCTCTCCATGATGCCCATGCGGGTGATGGCCTCCGACTCCATCGCCTCCGTCAAGCTCCGCGTCCAGACCTCCAAGGGCTTCGTCGTCCGCAAGCAGAAGCTCGTCTTCGATGGCCGGGAGCTCGCCCGGAACGACAGCCGCATCATGGACTACGGCGTCTCCCACGGCAACGTCCTCCACCTCGTCATCCGCATCTCCGACCTCCGCCTCATCACCGTCCAGACCGTCCACGGCAACAAGTTCAGGTTCCGCGTCGAGCCCGGCCGCACCGTCGGCTACGTCAAGCAGCAGATCGCCAAGAACTCCACCCACGACGACGACCACCACAGCCTCGTCCTCCAGGGCGAGGTGCTCGACGACGCCCACCTCATCCACGACGTCTGCAGGACCGACGGCGCCGTCATCCACCTGCTCGTCCACCGCTCCGCCAAGCTCGCCGCCAGGCCCGTCGACCGGGACTTCGAGGTCTCCATCGTCGCGCGCAACCGCAACGCCGCCGCCGACGCTGCTCAACCGACGTTGCACCTGCAGAGGGACTTCGCCATCGAGCCGGTCATCGTCAACCCCAAGGCCGCGCTTCCGCCAGTGATCGAGAACCTGGTGGGCGCCGTGCTGGCCGGGATGGAGAAGGGGAACGCCCCGATCATGTCGTCGGAGGGCACCGGGGGGGCGTATTTCATGCAGGACGCGTCGGGGCAGGAGCACGTCGCCGTGTTCAAGCCGGTGGACGAGGAGCCCATGGCGGCCAACAACCCACGCGGCCTCCCACCCTCGCCCACCGGCGAGGGGCTCAAGAAGGGGACACGCGTCGGCGAGGGCGCCATCAGAGAGGTCGCCGCCTACATCCTCGACCACCCTCCCGGTGGCCGCCGTTCGTTCGCAGGACATCATGGCTCCGCCACCGTGGGCTTCGCCGGTGTCGCGCCAACCGCGCTGGTCCGTTGCATGCACAGGAGCTTCAAGCAACCTGCAGCTTCCGAACAAGGTCCTCCATTGTTCAAGGTGGGGTCATTGCAAGCGTTCGTGAAGAACAGCGGCAGCTGCGAGGACATGGGACCTCGTGCGTTCCCGGTGCACGAAGTTCACAAGATCTGCGTGCTGGACATCAGGCTGGCCAACGCCGACAGGCACGCCGGCAACATCCTCACCTGCAGAGACGAACAAGGCCATGGCCTCACCCTGGTTCCGATCGACCATGGATACTGTCTTCCTGAGAGTGTAAGCACTGACAAAACACGCCGGCCAATGATTTAGCTAATGATCCTGATTCCATTTTGTGATGATGCATGCACATCGATCAGTTTGAGGATTGCACATTCGAGTGGCTCTACTGGCCGCAGTGTCGGGAGCCATTCAGCGAGGAGACGGTGGAGTACATAAGGTCACTGGACGCGGAGGAGGACATCGCCATTCTGAGGTTCCATGGGTGGGAGATGCCAGCCAAGTGCGAGCGCGTCCTGCGCGTCACCACCATGCTGCTCAAGAAGGGCGTCGACTCGGGCCTCGCCGCGTTCGACATGGGGAGCATCTTGTGCAGGGAGACGCTCACCAAGGAGTCTGTCATCGAGGAGATCATCCGTGAGGTTGAAGACGATGTTGGTGATGAAGCTGCCTTCCTGCAGTCTGTCTCTCAATCCATGGATCGCCGTCTGGGTGAATTATCCAAGAAAAAAAAAAGTAATGTAAGTATACAAGATTAACTGGTTGCCTCCCTCTACTCATATCATAGATAAATAACGTCAATAAAAAGGGCCAAGCTAAACTAATTAAAAGGGACAGAGGAAAAGGTTGTACTAGTGTACTTGAGTTATAAACTTTTTGTGCAGCTGACAATTGAGTGTACATGTAATCAGCAGTGGATTTAAAGGCCTTGAGGGCGTGTACCCTTTTTTTTCTTTCATGTGGTTTAATTATGTGGAAAATTTGACTACATGCATCACCTATTTTCCACAAACATCATGATCAAACTTAATATAACTCTGAATTCTCGCTTAATTTACGCATGGTCAAACTTACATGTAACTGCAAAGAAACAAAAATAACAAAAATCAATACATGTCGCGTGACCGCGCATTTCGCTATCTGTTTTGCTTTTCTTATTTTCTCTCCATGTGTAGATAGAATATGATCTCGGTGTTTGTGCTGTCATAATTAGGGTTAAACTTTTCGGTTTAGCTAATTTGATTGGTCCTCACCGAAATGCCGAAATTTCTGAAATTTCGGATATTACCAAAATTCACAAAAAAATTTAAAAATTTAGGCTGAAATAATATCGTATCGGAGGGGTCTGAAATGACCGAAATTTTAGAAATTTTGTTCCGGAATTTCCAACCCTGGTCATAATATGTATATGATACCGAGTATAATCTATCTTGTCATGTTTTTTTTTTCAGATTTTCTCGTAACTATTTTGATCATCTACAAGAAACAGCACACTCCATTAACAGTACAAAACATTTTCCCTATAGAGCATCTTTACTATCTTTGAAAAGGTACCATGAGGTAGCAATATAATCTAACCGTTGGTTTAGAAATGGGTATGATCGGGCTAAAGAAATTACCGTCGTTGCATCAAGGCTGTCGTGGCTGCCGTCGCATCGAGGCCGCCGCCGCCGCGCCCGCCGTCGCATCGAGTTTGCTGTTCACATGTGTTGCTTTTGGAAGCACGTGTGTTGCTGTCCGTCCTCTCCAGTTGCTGTCCATAAAAAACCTTCCATCGCGACCTCGCTCGTTGTTCGATGTTTGCTGTGGCCTCAACGAAGACGAAGATGACGCCGCCTGCCTGACGAGGAGTTCCTGGTTGTCTTTGCGACCAGCAGCTGGGGCCTATGTGGCGGTGGCTCCCGTGGTGCTAGCAGCTGCACGGGGCGCGCTGGTGGCTAGCCGACGCGCCACGACGACGCTAGTGGTGAGCGGCCGATGCCGATGCCGCCGCCCAGGTGTGACCGCTAGGGGAGAGGAGAAGAAAGAGTATGCGAAAAGACAAAAATACCCTCCCATACATGGTACCGCATCAATCCATTCTGCAGTACCACGCGGTACAGAGGCTCAGCTATTGGATTGGGCTAGACGGACGGCGAGGATTCGATACTGCACAGGCTCAAGGACAATAAAAAAGCTCTTCCCTGTATGTATACCACCATTATGTAATAATATTGTCTCTTACAAGGGTAAAGCCAGTGACGGGTGGCTAAGGGCCTGGCCTCTCTCAAGGACACCTTAAAAGTGTAAGGAGGAAGAGATTGCAATTACACAGTACGTAGATAAGGTTCGAGACGATGTAAAATCAGAGAAGATAGGAGGGTAATATGCAGGCAGGGTGGAGGGGACACATACGGTGCGTGTGGTGGCTAATGGGGGAGGGGACGAGGGGTGGCGGTGTAGCTGTGGCTGGAGGCTGCTCGCTGACGAATCTTCGATCAATTATGTCCTTTAAATTTCAGGAAAAATTTCAGCCAGCCGGCTAAGAAATTAATGTACAGCCCCAGGAAATTAAACACATTTTTAATAAGGTATATGTCCCATTGAAAATGGTACTTACATCCATCAGCATACCCAAACCATGCATGCAGGTGTACAAGTAACATAACCTCTATGATATGTTTACACAGGAAAACATAATAGTACAACTAATGCATGCTCTGAAAACAAAACAAACAAACATACATACAAGGGAGCACACATGCAGCTAGCTCTGACGCATATATGTGCAGACTTTTTACAAGCATGCATGCATGATGCACAACCTATATGGCAACATCGATGCCACCGGCAATCTCCACGGTGCCGGCGTCGTCGTGCTCCGCCTCCGCCGCCGCCTCCCGGAGGCGCAGGACGCCGGCGAGTATGTCCAGCAGCTGCTGCGGCGCGACGAGCTGGGGGAAGTGCCCGACGGAGCCGATGATCTCGACGGCCGTGGCGGCGCCCTTCATCCTGAGGTGCATGTACTCCGCCACGCTGGGCGGCGCCGCGAAGTCGGCCTTCACCTGGACGATGGTGCACGGCGTCTTCACGCCGTCGAGGACCTCCCGCTGGTCGCCGAGGAAGATCATCTTGGCCAGCTTGAGCGCGACGGTCGGGTCCATGGCGAGGAAGCTCTTGAGGAGGTGCTCCACGGCGGACGCGTAGCCGGCGGCGTTGGGGAGGAAGCTCCTGACCCAGCCGTCGAAGTCCGACTCCATGGCTGCCAGCATGCCGTGGATCGCCGCCTCCTCAAAGCCTCCTACATACCCTTCCTCCTCCAAGTTTATGTACCTGATCGATCGATCCACCACCCGTTTTCATCAGCTATACGTTCTCTAGTTCAGTTTTAATTTTGTTCATCAGTTTCTTGTACTGTCAGAGTAGCTTACTCCTATCTGGCAGCTGCATGCCCAATTGAATTTTCAACAGGTACTTGCATGCAATCGATCGTAGAAATGCTAAGTAATCAATTAGATGCTTGATCATGCATGTTTTGGCAATAGAATATTAATTAGTTAGTTGCAAGGATCTGAAACATCTTGACTGATTGATACATGGATAATTTCTTGTGTTCCTATTTTTTAGCCACACGTACAGGTTATGGACTAACTAACATGAGGCCACGATTGATCGATCCTGCTTCATCTCATCCGGACTAGAGCTAGCTTTGATCTAATCTAGAGTAGCTAGCAGCAAGTGTTTGTTGTGACGTCCCGGTTCGATCCGGCCAAATCTTAATTGCTGTTCATTGGTCAGATTTGACAAGCGCTATCTAGGGAAAAAGAATCGAAAAGGAGGCGTTTGTTTTCTTCCTGTGAATGAAGCTATGCAATTGATGATGTTTCTAGATGTTGGGTGAGTCGTGAGCAACAGTGAACGTGACTGCTGCTGCATGGTCGCGATTAGTGTGCTGACGTGGACGTACACACGCTGACAATTAACACACAAAGTTGACAATGATAAAACTCAAAAGCTAGCATAGCTGCTATCTACTGGGAGTGGTATCTGGATGAACCAAACACGTGTTGCACAACGACTAACTAATATAATTGTGCTTAAAAATAACTAATTAAATTAAATAGCTGTAATAATAATAACGGTAATTAGGCTATATATGTCATCCTTGATCTTGAGGGGCTTAATTAATTAAGGAACAGCAAAAATGAATGAAATCTAGTGATCGATAATTAATTAACCTCGGGGAGGCGCAGACGAGGAAGATGTGGGCGAAGAGGTCGGGTCTCCGTTGGGCGGCGATGCAGGCGGCCATGGCGGACATGGAGTGCGCCACCACCACCGCGCCCGACGCGCCCACGCCCCGCTCCTCCATCACCGCGATGAGCTCGTCGGCGAACCTGCCGTAAGTGTACTCGTCGTCGTCCTTCCCGGCGCCTGCGCCGGTGAAGTCCCAGTCGAAGAGGAGGAGGTTGTGGCTCTTGGAGAGGGAGGGCACGAGCTTGTCCCACACCGCCTGGCTCGCGCCATAGCCATGGGCAAGCACCACGCTAATTACTCCCCCTCTCTCCTCGGCCTCGCGACCACCTCTCCTTTCCACCACTCTCGCGTTGGCGCGCCACATCTTCTTCATAGCTTCGATCAGCTATAGGGGCTTCACTCTCAGGAGCTAATAAGCTTAAGCTGGTGCAGTAAACTGCGCAACCACGTACGCCTGTATTTATAGGAACTCAGCAAATGCCAGCCCGATTTTGTGTCAACAAAATTGAGGGCTAGCAATTAATATAGCCCTCTGTTTTGAGAAGTAACCAATTGATAGCTGCCTTATTAAAATATAAAAATGCTCGGTTACAGAATTTAGAAAATAAACTACAAGCCAAACTTAAATTGGTTTTCTCAGGATATCCGAATTCTCGCTAGTTGATTTTTAGAATTTAAGGCTTCTCTAAACAGACTTCTATTTTATTTTCTTTGAAAGGGCTAAAGATTGTATAAGAAATTGCAACGATTAGTTACAAATAGAACCACACACACTTTTACAATGAATGATTGACTTGGATATGCATAGATTATAGTGCATCTTTCTTTCTGAATTCTGACAAGCAAAAAAAAAAGGACAGAAGGGCTAGAAAAGGTGCAAGAAGGCAGGTAGCAAGTGGCCGGGAGCTACAGTACAGATAGCCTAGATTCCCAGTCTCTCCCGGGAAAGTGCTGCTTTGTCGCCTAGCTAGCATCACCAATGGTGGTTGCCAGGTCGTAGATACTCCGTAGAACATATCATCTCTGACTGAACATCAACAATTTTTACATTTTAGTCCCTTCATAAAATTTAATCTATAAATAGATCCTCATAAATACTAAAGCTAAACCTCAGCAGTCACACCTATGACGCGGAAGCCCAACATCTCAGCGTCATCAGTCTTGCCACTTAGCTATGTGAAGCTCAGCTTTATAGTACTTGATAAATATGAATGTGCTATTTTTTTACTATACGATGTTAAGTACTTCCTCCGTTTCAGGTTATAAGACGTTTTGACTTTGGTATTCTAAGTTTGACTAATTCTGTAGAAAAATATAGTAATATTTACAACACCAGCATAGTTTTATTAAATTTATAATTGAGTAAATTTTCATAATATATTTGTCTTGGTTAAAAATATTACTATTTTTTTTTTATAAAATTAGTCAAACTTAGAGTAGTTTGACTTTGACCAAAATTAAATCTTCTTATAACCTACTAAAATGGAGGGAGTAGCTTAGTGGCTTTCTTATGCAATCTCTCCCTGGCATGATCGACTTCCCATGCCTCTGTTTTTCATTCTCTTTTCTAATTGAAGTGTTCTGGTGATATTAGCTGATCGAACTCTGTAGAAAGCGTTCTAATTATATTAGCTGTCCTATATAGAAAAGTACAAAATATACTGGTGCTTACTATTGTATTGCCCCTTGGTGCTGAGATGTTAGACTTCGTCGCCATGGACCTGACGCTAATGTTGAGCTCTATTTTTAGTTATAATTGTATGGGGATTTATTTGGAGAATAATGTTTGTAAAAGGGCTAAAATGTTAAATTGCTGGGCTGAACACGTCATCACTGTCCGCATATTAGTATAACATTTAGGCAAATACAGTACTCTGCTACCCAATTAAAATGATAGATTTGGAGTTATATATCAGCATCATATCATTAGTTCATTACATGCTGGGATCCTCTACATCCATAAGCAAGCAGATTAATTAAGCATGATAGTATTAACTAGCATTCCCTTTGTTCTTAAAAAAGTACAATTTTAAAAATTATCTAAAAAGAATTATATTTTTTGATTTTTGTGAATACTAGAACTTTTTTTTTTACGGAAGGAGTATGTCATGACCTCATGCATTATACTAGATCATTATGAGTAGAGCTAGCTAGCTGAAAACTTGGATATATAATAAGGACGTGTACCACTCAAGGCTACAAAATTTGGGGTGCCAATTAACCTAATGTGTAAGGACAAACTAATTAAAGGCGTTGTCCACATCAGTGAAGCCTGCTAAACCGATCCTTTTCTAAGCATACAGGACCAGTTGTCGTGTTGCGTTGAGAGATTACAACCCAATTTCATCACGGAAAAGAATAAGTTGACAGAAATTCCTAGCCAACAGGGGTCCCAATAACTTGCCAACTTGCAGTTGCAGTTTCCTCCAAAAGTTAACTTTTCGTGCATTTAAGTAGTGTGCCTGAACCTCCATGTAGTGCATCATGTGCGCGTTATCTCAAATTAACCACAGCAGTCTTCCTGGTCACAAAATAAAAAAAATGAAGTTAATTAATTTTGGATGTCTTAACTTTTCGTGAATTGAAGTATGCAAGATTCTTAGTTTTGTTTGAGTTTTCTCAGTTTAAAGCGTGATAGATGCTCCTATTTTGGGATCGCAAAAAACATTCGGTTTGCATGTCGTATGTCCAACTTCCAAAGCTTTACCCATGAATATATTTTTAGAGGTTCGAATTGTATAAAAATGATATGAGTTTGAGTTTGTTGTCTAGTAAGGACCACCACTAGTAAAGTAGTAAAGAGGCTACAATATTTTGGGGCGCCGGACAAAGAAGGTATCCACATCATCTTTTTTTTTTTCATGCTAAACGGTTTTCTCCCTAACAATATATACAAGCGACTACTTGTCGTATGTGTTGAGATAGCAACATGTACAATTTAATCACATAGAAGAATAAAGTAAGTAATAGAAATTCCTAATAATCACAAAAAATGGGCATAGTTCCATTAAGAAAAGAAAACCATTAGATTTGTTTTTTTTAATGGACAGAGTGAATATGCAAATTAAAAGTCCTCTCACAGCAAGTTGCCATTAAAAAAGTGTCGGCAATTTCGGTCGTGTTGCCATCATACGGCCAGTAATGACGGCCAAAACAATAAACAGAGGAGCTAGCCCGTGTCTTTGTTAATCTGCACTACCGTCATAAGATTCTTCGGTCGCAACACATACGCACTGGTGGAGAAACCCTCGGTAGTCCCGGTTCGTAACCCCCCTTTAGTCCCGGTTTCCAAACCGGGAGTACCAATCCGGGACTAAAGATCGCTATCTTTAGTCCCGGGTAAAATAATCGGGAGTAAAGATCGATCTTTAGTCCCGGTTGGTAACACCAACCGGGACTAAAGATCGAGCTGACCTTTTTTTTTTTTGCATGGCCCTGTTGCTGCATGGTTTATATATATATATATATATATATATATATATATATATATAAACCATGCATATATATGTTTCAATACATATATATGCATACATATATATATGTATATATATATTATATTATATTATATGTATATACATGCATAATATATATGTATTTATACATATATATGTTATGCAAATGCATATGTATATAGATATATATATGACCAAAATATATTTACATTATAGAAAATGTGTACACATGCATATAGAAACATATGTAGTCATGTATTAATTACAATCCATTATATGTCCTAGCTAGCTACGATTTCGACGTAGTAGTACTCGCTGCTAGCTCAGAAGTTAAGGACCGGTGAATTGTGTTTCCGTCGTAGTAGAATTCACCCTTGGGATCAAGGATTTCTTCGTTGATGAATCCCATGAGTTGTTCTTGAACCGCCGCGATAAATTCCTTGTGTGTGGTCAGGTTATCCCTCATGCGAATAAACTATATGAATGTATGAAATTGATTAGTAATTAAACAAGAAATCGCTACGTAATGAAATTTTGAATTTATTTGTACGTACATCGAGCTCTCTTGTGGTCATGATTTGGTCTGCAAGGCAGTGGCAATACTCGCACACGTAATAGCCGCACAAGTTAGTTCCCTGCTTTTGCTTTGCGCACTACAAATAAATGACAAACAACGAGAGATCTAATTAATATACACTTGTATGTATTTGAATCGGAGAAATATAAATGTAGAGCATGTGTACTCACAGGAAATTTGAACTTCCGCCTAAGTCTTTCTCTCCATTTGCCGCGGACCAAATGACGGAACCGATACCAAGCCCTACATGGAGTTTAAAGCTATGATTCGTAGTAGCAATTAACATAACAAGATTTTTTTAATTAACAAAGGAACTTATGACGGTACCTGTCTATAAGTTCGAAAACCTTGTCAAACGTAGACTCTTTTTTATCCATTGAGTCATATACGTTGACGGTGCAGGCCTCCAGGTCGATGAGTAAAAGCACCCAGTGGAATCTGCAATGTGCGTGGGATGCATTACATATGAAACACTTAGCAAGTTCGTACGGGAATGAAATTTGGTATGTAGGAAGACAGTAAAATTAAACTAACTCTGTGTTGTATGGCAACAGTATGAACGTCTTGTAATGCTGCGCCTTCAGGAGATGGACGAGATTGTCCTCTGTTTCTTGTGGATATTGGTCGAGCATTGCGACGTTTACTTTCCGAGGGTCGATGAATCCAGTATCGAAAACCCTCCGCCGTCGGGCCCTTTGAATCTCCATTCTACAACGATAAAAGGGAGTATATTATTTTCTATGGTCTACTTATATACAAGGACCTAATTAATTAAAGGAGACGTATAGTAAGAAATCTAACTGAACGATATACTTACAAAATCCAGCAACTCATAATAGAGACGTCGAGGGCGTCCAGCTGGTATAGTTCGTAGATTCCCCTGAAATTGATCCAGAGAATGTCATCTCCTTGCAAGAAGTCCGTGTCCCTGATCCTCGCTCCGATCATCTCTCTACCGGTGGCGCTCATCTCCATGTACAGCTGATGGAACTTGTACATTTGTGTGGGTAGGGACTGCAGCAGCTCAGGCTTGACAAGCGGTTTACCGAGTTCGTACATGTATTTCACTTTCGCCTTTTCGATTGGTGCGACTCCTAGCAATTGATCCGTAGTTAGACCGGTGTCAGTAATAAATTGTTCTATCGTCATTTCTTTACCGGTCACCAACGGCTCGATCTCCTGGTTTGGTTGCTCTCCAAGCTGAGGGACTGGTTTGGACTTTCCAGAAGATGCTTTCTTCAGCGTTCGCTCATAGTCCGATAGCTTGATGGCCTCCTTGACAGATGCAGACATACCCCTGAAGAAGTTCCTGACACTGGGGTCTATAGGAATCTTCTTTTCTGGACTTCGAGGCTTGAATTGTCTCTTGACTTCTGATGCAACGTAAGCGTCAAGCTCCTCTTGCGTGCAATCGTACCCCGGGTCCTTGTTCTTGGCGGCGTCAACTT